AACCATTCCAACATAAGCAACCTTTTATCCACTGTTAAAGAAGCTTGCCTCTACCTTGGGCAGAAACCCTATAAATTGCTTAAGGGAGTAGCCTTTCAAAAGAGTTTTGTTTATGCTGTTTCCATTTTTTCTTCATATATAAGAAGAATTAGACAGAATATCCAAAAGAACAATAGGAAGTGCTCCTCAAAATGAGATGAGGTTTAATTAGGTCGTGTCATATGAAATTAAAATTATTTCACTCTGTTGACATAAAAAAATACAATTTTTATATTTTATCCTAAAAATCAGCATGTTTATTAATAGTGTATAGGTATGGATAGTAGGTGAAGCTAGAACAGGTAGCATAAATTCTAAATTTAGTTTGTCATAAATATGTTGATATACATACTACATTCTGAATTCAATGTGGTACCTTAAGCAGCTCAGAGTGGTTTTAACTGCTTGCTGGTTGACTGATCAAAAGCTCAATCTAACAATGATCTAGTCTAAAAACATTTGGATGTCAAAGGTACCTTGGCTTAAGTTGAGGAAGAAATATTAAAAGATAGGAACACAAAATGTTTTTGTGACCTTAGTTTACCCAACTTTTTTTTTTTTTTTTTTTTTTTTTTTTTTTTTGTCTGAGATAACTCTGAAGAGAATAAATTCACCAAGGCACTAAGATTAAACTCTAGTAACTGTCCTTATAGGCTGGTGATGAGGGTAGGAGACGCTGCCTCGTATTAGTTCTCTGATTAAAAGGAGTAAATGTTTTGGTGGTGATAAAACCCAACTGGCAGCACTTAGCCTGCAGAATAAGAATAATTATTGTAGCATGGCTGGAGAGGTAAAAGGAAGAAACTTTATCCTAAAAGAACCATGGATTATTTTCCATGAATTTAAAGATACTTATAAAATATATAGATGAGCAATGAACAAAAGCTCTAAAATAGCTATAAAACAATAGCTATAATAAAATATATATATGATAAAGGGAAAGTTGAATAATTACTGTGATGAGGATTCATGTGTTCTCCTTAACTGTCTTGAATGATATGAACAAAAGTTTTAACATACTTATTCCTTCTTGATTTTCTGCAAAGCCCTTGCTGACCATGTACTGCAGTGATCGTTCTTGGAAGAAAAGTGACATTTAGGAAATGACTGGATTCTGGTTCTGAAATATTGCTTGCATTTTGTAATGCAGGGAACCAAATGGTCCTTCCATCAGAATGGGCATCATTGAATTAAGAAAAGGAATGGAATTTGGACACAAATCTATCTTGTCATGCATTCTTGAAGTGGTGCTATGAAAATTCATCCACTCTTGAGTCTTCTCACAATTCTGGGATATTTGTCAGAAGAAAATATTTCTGACATTTAAATCTACTTAGTTTGTTTCGTGGGTCTGTGAAAAAAGCATATGGATCTTGAAATAATGATAATGTATTATAAATATAATTAGGTGATAAAAGTAATACATGATGCTTTCCAGTTGTCTCATATAATGGAGCAAATCAGTCTACATCATTTTGTGTGGTTCACAACCACCGAGCTGGCCAATAAGCAGAGAACAATACTCAATATATGCTTCAACCTGTAAGAGACAGGGACGCAACCTCATTCTTCATCCTTAAATCCACTAAAAATGTGTACTTCTCTGTTATAATTTAGTTGCATACTTTCTGATACTTGCATTTATGTTGATGACATCCACGTTATGTAACCTGAGGAACAGTGAGTAATGAGTAGTTGAGAAGACTCAATAAGATTCATGCATTTTAAAAGATAAGAGTAAAGTATTACAAAAATCTGAAGAACTATATAAGTGCAGTTTTTAGCGTATCAGAAGTCTTGAGCATGCTAATATACTCTTACTAAAATGAAAAGATTTTTTTTAAAAGTACTTTTTTTTTGTCTATCTGTGCACAATAGCCAGTGAACCCATTGAATTTTGGAGGATAACTATATCCCCTCATGCGTATGGACCTAGCTTATAAGGTTTCTAGATTTTTGGGAAAATGGCCCAGAAGAAAGCGAATTTCTCGATGCATTTCAGACCATGACTCAAGCAGCTCTGACCTTGAGTAGATATAATGTTGTTTGAAGTATCTGTGGCAGATCAGGTTGCCTTATGAAGACTGAAACAATTACTAACAGGAAAACTATATAACACATTTCTACAATTTTAAAGCAAAAGTTTTTTTTCTATAAATAAATTTTTTATTCTTATTTTGAGAAACAGCTGCTATACTGTTGTTGAAATAAACTGAACACTAGATCTTACAACATCAGAATCTATACAAAATGACCTCCCTATCATGATTTAAGGGTTCTCTGATACAGCAAACCATAAGGTTGCGTTTGTGCAGCAGTGCTCCATCTCCATTGAAAACACTTATAAAGAAAAGTGTATGTTTCAGTTCCTAAAAATGCAAATAATGTAATGAGCACGTGATTTATTTATCTAATCATCTTACATCAGTAGTACTTTCACATTTTCCTCATGTATGTACTCATGAACCTGTACAAATATCCAGTTTCCTAAAGAAGGAAAAAGTCCTGGTTTATAGACAGTTTCAAGTGACATATTGGCACTAGCAAGAAGCAATAAGCTTTTTTGTAATTCCTTCCAGTGAGTAGAATTTTCAGACCTTAAACTAAGGATGATAATCCTCAAAAAAAAAAAAAAAAAAAGAAAGAAAGAAAGAAATGAAAAGCTGGAAAATAGGTGCCTAAAATGAAGATTTAAACTTGATTTTCATTAATATTTGTAGATGTATTATTATAATTATGGCAAATAATATCATTCAGTTGATTTATGAAGTTTATGTAATAAGATAAAAAATTAACAAGTCACATAAAAGAATACATGAATAAAAATTAAGAAATCATTAATTTTGAATAAAATGTTGTACAGGAAATGAAATACAGCTGTATGTGAATGAAATAACTCACAGTTATTCAGTGATGTTATCATCAATTTGACTTATAGATTCTCAATGCAATGGACTACTTTATAGCATTTGACTGTTTAATTTAATTTTTTAAATAAAAATTTAAAGGCCCCCAAAATCTAACCCACACTGAAAATAAGAATATATCTAACTGCTATACCTTGCTTGATTTTAGGACTTTTATAAAGCAAATGAAATAAACAAAATAAATAAATGAAGAAATAAACATGTTCAACATATTGAAGTACATTAAAAATCTTTTCTTAGTACCTAAGAAAAGGGCAGACAAAAATCAGTAAATATGAGGTGACTCAAAATGTTTCTGGGAAATGGAATTAAAAGATAAAATTTAAAAATATAAACATTATTTCCCAACATGAATTTCATCAAGGTCAAGTAACTTCGATAAGTGATAACACCAGCCTTTTAATCCATCCCCAAAGAACTGAGGAGTCTGAGAATATAACTGTATTAATGCAGCCTTTTCACATTATTAACTGAAAAAAAATGAGTGGTCTTAAAGATTTTTTAAGATTAGAAAATAAAAAGAAGTCAGAAAAAGCCAAATCAGGACAGTGAGGTAGATAAAAATAAATATATAAATAAATAAACCTAGGAATACATTTAATCAACCAGATGAAAGAAAAGACTTCTACAAGAAAAACTACAAAGCACTGAAAAAAGAAAAAACCGAAGAGGGCAAAGAAAAAGAAAATTCATGCTCATGAATTGAGATAATTAACGTACTAAAAATAATCATAGTTCATAACGTGATCCAGCATTGTCATTTTTCAAAAAATAGAAAAAACAATTCTAACATTTTCATGAAAGAACAACAACAAAAAAGAGCTCAAATAAATAGCCAAATAAATTTTAATAAGAGGAACAAAGCTAGAAGAATCACACTACCTAACCTTACAATATATGACAAGGCTACAGTAACTTAAACAGGATGGGATTGACATGAAAACAGACAATATTTATTTATATTTTCCTCATCACTTTGTATTATTTTCTTTTTTGTCCTACCTTTACACATTTTAGATCAGATTCTTCTCGAAATGCTATTCTTGGAATTAGTCTTCTTTGATATTATGTAATTATTGCCCAGACAATAAAGGAATTTGCACCTATAAATCCGGCTCACAAAAAAATTTCCACCAATGCCTTAATTGTCCTGCACTTCTAATTTTTGGATATGATATGAGAAATAAGTCAATATTTTGAAAAAATTAGCATTATAAATCATTTTGTTTTAATTGATATTACGTTGGTCTTCCACATTTCTGTTCTGATAACTTTTAAGTAATTACAAAAGATTAAAATCTTGATGAAAGCCATTGTTACAGTTCATGGTATACTTTTACTAAATCATCAGATGTATTTAGTAGGTATTCAAGTGATTGAGTTTGCATATGTAAAAATAATGCTCTAAGTAATTTTAAGAAAAATTGGAATGTTGTATAGCATATTACGCTCTAAAAAATGAAAGGTATTCAGCCAAATCATTGCTTCATTCAAATACCACTCACATTTTTGACATGGATTATAAAGAAACATAATTTAAAGGGGTCATATTCTTCCTGTAGTAGAAAACATAATGGTTCATATGTTGAAATTGGTGGTTTTGAACATAGTTTTTTCCAAAAAGTTTACTTGAATTTAAAAAATTGGCACTACAGATAAAATGATGCAATGTAATATAATTCACTAGAAAGTAGGTTGCCAGCTCTTCCTGTACATTGTATTTTTTATAGCTCTTTGAGAGCTTTAGAACTTTGTTTTATTCATGATTTTTTGCTCTCTTAAGCCTATACATATTTATTTAATTTTATTTTAAAAAGTATCGTTGTTTATATCACAAGGAGAGTCGGCTCCTGAATTAAGCTTAACGCCTACACTCCATATTAGGAAGCTTTAGGATTTTTCCATTTGCTCAGATCTCACAGATTTTTCATTGTATGTTGAGACCAGGAATAGTAGTATTGTGACAAAAATAATAAGATGCAAACTTTTTCTTGGCAAATATTTAGTTTTAAAAGCTAAGTATTCCGCTGGGCTGCGGGGACTGCGGCGCCTGAGGGAGTCGCTGACGGGCAAGCTGAGTGGAGGCTGGCGGACGGGCCACAGCGACCTGTGGCAGGACCAGAGTGAGAGCAGCAAGAACCATACCCAGCAGCAATGTCAGCGGAAGTGGAAACCTCAGAGGGGGTAGATGAATCAGAGAAAAAGAACTCTGGGTCCTTAGAAAAGGAGAACCAAATGAGAATGGCTGACCTCTCGGAGCTCCTGAAGGAAGGGACCAAGGAAGCACACGACCGGGCAGAAAACAGCCAGTTTGTCAAGGACTTCTTGAAAGGCAACATTAAGAAGGAGCTGTTTAAGCTGGCCACCACGGCACTTTACTTTACATACTCAGCCCTCGAGGAGGAAATGGAGCGCAACAAGGACCATCCAGCCTTTGCCCCCTTGTACTTCCCCATGGAGCTGCACCGGAAGGAGGCGTTGACCAAGGACATGGAATATTTCTTTGGTGAAAACTGGGAGGAGCAGGTGCAGTGCCCCAAGGCTGCCAAAAAGTACGTGGAGCGGATCCACTACATAGGGCAGAATGAGCCGGAGCTACTGGTGGCCCATGCGTACACCCGCTACATGGGGGACCTCTCGGGGGGCCAGGTGCTGAAGAAGGTGGCCCAGCGAGCACTGAAACTCCCCAGCACAGGGGAAGGGACCCAGTTCTACCTGTTTGAGAATGTGGACAATGCCCAGCAGTTCAAGCAGCTCTACCGAGCCAGGATGAACGCCCTGGACCTGAACATGAAGACCAAAGAGAGGATCGTGGAGGAGGCCAACAAGGCTTTTGAGTATAACATGCAGATATTCAATGAACTGGACCAGGCTGGCTCCACGCTGGCCAGAGAGACCTTGGAGGATGGGTTCCCTGTACACGATGGGAAAGGAGACATGCGTAAATGCCCTTTCTACGCTGGTGAGCAAGACAAAGGTGCCCTGGAGGGCAGCAGCTGTCCCTTCCGAACAGCCATGGCTGTGCTGAGGAAGCCCAGCCTCCAGTTCATCCTGGCCGCTGGCATGGCCCTAGCTGCTGGACTCTTGGCCTGGTACTACATGTGAAGGACCCATCATGCCATGCCGGTACCCTCCTCCCGACTGACCACTGGCCTACCCCTTTCTCCAGCCCTGACTAAACTACCACCTCAGGTGACTTTTTAAAAAATGCTGGGTTTAAGAAAGGCAACCAATAAAAGCCAGATGCTAGAGCCTCTGCCTGACAGCATCCTCTCCATGGGCCAGATTCTGCACTGGGCACAGGGTGTCACCCTGGGAGCAGTCGGCACAGTGCAGCAGGCCTGGCCTCCGACCCAGCTCTAGTCCAGGCTCCCACACCTCTGGGCCCTCGGCTGCTTCCAGTAGTTCCTGTTTTTGTAGTACATGGGTGGCTGTCTCCCCTGCTGGAGGTGAGTGGCCTGTAAGCCCAGGCTGTGGGAGGGGGCCTTGCTGGATGCTGCTGTACTACTTCTGGGCCTCTCTTGGACCCTGGGGGTGAGGGTGGGTGTGGGTGGAAGCCTCAGAGGCCTTGGGAGCTTATCCCTCTCACCCAGAATCCCTCTAACCCCTTGGGTGAGGTCTGCTTGGCCCCAGCTTGTCTTGTCTCCTCCTCCGCCCTGTGTAAATGCTCCAGCACTCAATAAAGTGGGCTTTGCAAAAAAAATAAAAAAATAAATAAAATAAAATAAAAGCTAAGTATTAATTAAAAGTTAAATCAGTTTGTGTCTTTTATATTTGGCTTCTTCATTTTCTTTTGTTTCTACTTGCACAATTTTTAAAATTGTGGTTAAATACATATGACTTAACATTTACCATCTGAATAATTTTTAATTGTACAGTCCAATGGTATTAAGTATATCCATACTGTTGTTCAGTCGTCAATACCAGCAATCTCTAGAACTCTTTTCGTCTTGCAAAACTAAAATCATATACACATTAAATAAATAATTTCCATTCATCCCTCCCTTCAACTCCTGGTAAGAACCATTGTACTTTAAAAAATGGTTTATATTTGTAATTAGTATGAATACATAATAGTTGTACATGTTATGAGGCACATGTGATACTCTGATACAAGCAAATGTATTAATGTATAATAATCAAATCAAGGTAATTGGGATATCCATAGCCTCAAGCATATAATTTTTTCTTTTCTGTTAGAAGTGTTCCAATTCTGCTCTTTTGGTTATTTTGAAATACACAATAAAATATGAACTATATTTGCCCTATTGTGTCACAAAACACTGGATCATACTCTTGCTAACTATATTTTTCTACCTGTTAATCATCCCTTGTCTGTCTCTCCCTCATCACTACCCTTCCCAGCCCCTGATAACTGTCATTCTACTCTATCTCTAGGTGTTCAATTTTTTGTTAGCTCCCACATATACATAAGAAAATGCTATATTTGTTCTTTTCTGTTTATGTCTTTTTTCACTTAACACAATGCCCTCCAGTTCTAACTCTATTGTTGCAAATGAAGGGATCTCGTTCATTTTTTACGGCTGAATATGGTTTTATATTTTTATCTCATTCATTTGTATATTTCTGTTGTGTATATATGACAAATTTTCTTTGTCAAGTCATCTATTGATAGACACTTAGGTTGATTCCATACCTTGGCTATTATGAATAATGCTGCAGTAAACATCAGGGTATACATACTTAATATAGTAATTTCTTTTTAAAAAATATATAGCTATCAGTAACATTGCTGGGTTATATAGTAGTTCTATTTTTAGTTTTTAAGGAAGCCTTAGGCTGTTCTTCATGTAGCTGTACCTATTCACACTCCCATTAATATTTTAAGAGGGATCCCCTTTCTCCACACTCTTGTCAGCATCTATTATTGCCTATCTTTTCAATAAAAGTCATTTAACCTGGGTGAGAGGTTATCTCATTGTAGCTTCAATTTTTATATCTCTGATGATTTGTGATGTTGAGCATTTTTTATATATCTCTTGGTCATTTGTATGTCTTCTTGTGAGAAATTTCTATTCATATATTTTGCCTACTTTTAATTGAATTATTGTGTTATTTTTTTCTTTATTAAGTTGTTTGAAATCTATGTATACTCTGGTTATTAATCCCTTGTCAGATGTGTGGTTTGAAAAACTGAGTGTCCTCAATCTCGTAAGACCATTTTACTTTCTAGCTTTATAAATTTAACTACTCTAAGTAGCTCATATATGCAGAATCATACAATATCTGCCTTTTTGTCACTGACATTTCATTTAGCATAACCTTCTTGTTTTATCAATGTGATATCGTATGTCAGAATATTTTTCTTCTTTTAATTTTTAATATTTGTGGATACATAGAAGGTGTGTGTGTGTGTGTATATATATATGGCATATGGAATATTTTATATAGGCATACAATGTGCAATGATCACATCAGAATAAATGAGATATCTATCACCTTAAGCATTTATCCTTTGTATTACAAACAATGCATTGTATGTATACATTACATTTTGCTTATCCATCTTATCTACTAATGAATATTTAGGTTTTTTCCACCTTTTAGTTTCTGTTAATAAGGTAGAAATGAACATGTGTATACAAATACCTTGTAGAGACTCTCCTTTTATTTATTTATTTATTTTTTGAGACACAGTCTTGTTCTGTGGCCCAGACTGGAGTGCAGTGGTGCAATTTCAGCTCACTGCAACCTCCGCCTCCCAGGTTCATGCGATTCTCCTGCCTCAACCTCCCAAGTATCTGGGATCACAGGTGCCCGCCAACATGCCCTGCTAATTTTTGTATTTTTAGTAGACACGGGTTTCACTATGTTGACCAGGCTGGTCTTGAACTCTTGACCTAAAGTGATCCACCCGTCTCCACCTCCCAAAGTGCTTGGGTTACAGGCATGAACCACCACACCTGGCTTTAAATCTTTTAACTATGTATACTCAGAAATGGAATTGTTGGATAATATAGTAATTCTATTTTCGAATTTTTGAGGAATCATGATATTGTTTTCCAAATTAGCTACACCATTTTAGATTTCTACCAGCAATGCACAGGGTTCCCATTTCTCCACACCCTCACCACCATTTGCTATTTTCTGTGTATCTGTGTTTGTGTGTGTTTTACAGTAACCATAAGGAGTTTGAGGTGATACCAAATTGTGTTTTTGATTTGTATTTTCCTAATAAGTGAAGTTCAGTATCTTTTTATGTACTTATTGGCCATTTGTATATACTATTTGAAGAAATGTTTAAGGAGTTTTATATAAATTCTGAACATTAATTCCTTATCAGATAAATGATTTACAAATATTTTCTCCTATTTTGTGAATTGCTTTTGTCTCCATTAATAGTATCTTTGATAAAATACAATTGTTTAATTATCATGAAGTCAAATTTGTTTATTTTTCCTCTTTTGTTGCTTATAGTTTCATGTTATATCCAATAAATCATTGCCAAATTAAATATCATTAAGCTTTTGTCCCTTGACTTTTTTCTTCTTAGAAGATTACAGCTTTAGCTCTTATGTTGAAGTATTTGATCCCTTTTGAGTTAAATTTTTTATAGTAAGAGAGAAAGGTTCAACTTTATTCTTTTGCCTGTGAATAGTCGATATTTCCAGGTTTATTTGTTGAAAAGACTTTTTTTGCTATTAAATGGTTTTAACATCTTTGTTGTATGTTATTTACTATATACTAGTGTCTATTTCTTATCTCTATTTTGTTCCATTGGTCTATATTTATGTCTTGTTTATGTCAGTACCACACTATTTTTATTATTTATTTTAAATTTAGCTTATGTAACACCCGAAGAGTTGGAATAAAATTTGATAATGTAATCCATATATAGATTATCTAGTAGCACTACAGTTTTTTTATAACTAATCAATAAATAAAAACTATATTTCTATTTATACAAAATATACAACACATTTTTTATATTTTAGAATATTTGAAGCTGATGTGCCTATTCTAATAAATACTCTTCGTGCATCTCAAAATTATATTATGATGCTAAATACAATAAGGACATCAAGAATAATTTGGCAATTCTATAAAAACTTTTAATAATTATAATATACAACTTTAAAATAAAGTAAAGCTTCTAGGAAGGATTATGTCATAGTTAAACTGGCAGATGATGTGAATTATATTTGATAGGAATTTAGATGGCATATAGTATTACTGTTACCAATTATACTACAATGTATAAAATGTGTTTCCTACTGTCAAAAACTACTATTCTTAATAAACAGCTAATGGAAATCTACTATATCGAATAGGGCCCTGAGCATTGATTGACAGTTTATCATAGTGGCTAAATCCAGGTTCTCTGGGTCAAAATCCCCCCTCTTTTGTTTCATACTTGTGTGAACTTGGCACCTAACTTAGCTTCGGTGCCTCAGTTTCTTGTCTATAAAAGAGTGATAATTTTACTCATCATAAATGGTTGTAATAAAATTAAAAAGAGTCTATAAGTTTTTTCAAATTTATGATAAAGACATACCCAAGACTGGGTAATTTACAAAGGAAAGAGGTTTAATTGACTCGCAGTTCCACATAACTGGGGAGGCCTCACAATCATGGTGGGAGGCAAAATATATGTCTTACATGGGGGTTGACAAGAGAGAGAATGAGAACCAAGTGAAGGGGATTTCCCCTTATAAAACCATCAGCTCTTGCAAGGCTTATTCATGACCACAAGAACAGTATGAGGGAGCACACCCCCATGAGTCAATTATTTCCCACTATGTCCCTCCCACAACATGTGGGAATTATGGGAGCTACAATTAAAGATGAGATTTATGTGGGAATACAGTCAAACCATATCATTCCACCTCTGGCCCCTCACACATCTCATGTCCTCGCATTTCAAAATCGATCATGCCTTCCCAACAGTCTCCCAAAGTCTCAACTCATTTCAGCATTAACTCAAAGTCCATAGTCCATAGTCCATAGACCAAAGTCTCACCTGGGACAAGGCAAATCCCTTTTACCTATACACCTGTATAATCAAAAACAAGTTAGTTACTTTCTAGATGCAATGGGGGTACAGGCATTGGGTAAATAAAGCCTTTCCAAATGGAAGAAATTGGTCAAAACTAAAGGGCTAAGGTCTCAGGCAACTTCAAATCCAACAGGAGAGTCAAATCTTAAACTTCAAAATGATCTCCTTTGATTGCATATCTCATATCCAGGTTATGCTGATAAAAGAGGTGGGTTCCCATAGTCTTGAACAACTC